TATGGGATAATAAATTGGTCCCATTAAATTCTCATTCTCCCAGTGCTAGGCCAGCTTAACCTCTGGAACCCAGAGCGGTGGGCTCCCTGCTCACTATACCCCTCAGGGTCCCCCATCCCTACCTGCTATTCTCCCCTCACAAGCTAAAAGCTAGTACTACCATGGTGAGAGGTGGGAATCAAACCTGATTGTACCCCAGAATTTTGGGGCCCCCCTCCTTCCCACCAGCCCCTTGCCAGGCTCTGAGAGGCCAGCTGCGAGGGCCCTGGGTGGGGAATGCCCGGTGCCTCCGCAGGGGTTGCCAGAGGGGCAGGTAGCTCCTCCTGCCCTCGCAGAAGATGGGGTGGGGCTAGCAGATGGGGGCACATACCAGTCTCTCACTGAGCCCCCACCAAACCCAGGATGGACCCAATCCACGGATGAGGAACTAGGGGTAGCTCAAGTGGGCCAGTCCCTTGCCCAGGTCGCCAGCTAGTGGGGCCCAGATTCAGGATTAGAACCTGAGGTTTTCTGGCTGTCTGGTGCAGAAATACCTGCAGAAACTACAGCACTCAGGTGGCAGGCCAGGTGACACTCAGGTGGTATCCAGAGTCTAATCATGGCCTGATACAGTGGTTCTCCCAGACAGGGGCACTGCCTAACAACCCCTGACATTTTGTCCTCAGCCTCTGCCTTCACACAGACCAATTCCAACTCCAGCCCCACCAGCACTATGACCCTGCGCCACCTCCTGGGCCTCACTGAGCCTCAGTTTCCCCTTTTTTAAGACAGGGATGATAACACCTACCTAACTGGCTGCTGTGAAGAAGAGGCCCCAGTTGTTAAGGCTTCCTCCAGACAGAGGCTGGACCCATCTCTATCCAGGCCTAGCGGGGTTGGGGACACAGCCCTCATGGCTACCTTCACCCAGCTGGGCCCCAAGAGGCTGAGAGGAGGCAGACAAACAAGGTGGCCCTCCCAGGGCAGCCCAGGCCAGGGCTAGGGTGGAGAGAGCCTCAAATCCCTGAAAGGGGCCATGGGGGGCGGCGAGGGCCGGGAGGCAAGAGCGGGAGCAAATCCCCCGGGGAGGCATCCTGAATGGCTCATTAGTGCCGATGAAAGCCTTTTCTCATTTCGTCTAAATACTTTAAACAGAGCTCCCTCCGATGTTTATTTGCATAGCTTAAGAGCTAATCCGGGGGGAGGGCCCAGGCAGCAGCGGGGCGTGTCAGGGCTGGGGGCTGCCAGGAAGCTCCAGGGCCTCCTCTGTGAGAGGGTGGTGGTGGAGGGAGGGAGTACGGTGTTTCCCCAGACTAGGCGACTTGGAGGAGGCAGCCCCCAGCCCTGTGGGAGGGGGGACCGAGGAGCAGCCTGAGGGTATGTTCCTGTGTTCTGGCACCAGGTTGGGGTCCCGGGGGGCTGTCTTGCTGTGACCATGGCTCTGCCCACTCCCCTTGGTGACATGCAGGGACATGAAGGCGGCTGCCCTTTGCATGAGTGGTACGATATTATCCCCATTTCAAGGGTGAGGGCGCTGAGGCCCAGAGAGGTGAGCTGACGTGCTTGAGGTCACACATACCACCACCCAACAGGGTACGTGGTCCCCCAGAGAAGAAAAACTTCACCCCCGGGCCAGCCCCTTCCCACCCTAGAGGCCTGCCTCAGTGGGGTCCTGGCAGGAGGCCGCCCAGCCTCACCCTCTAGGCGCTGCTATTTAGAGCATTCAGATCCTCACAAAACCCCCCCACAGTGCCCACTTTACAGCTGAGGAGGCAAGGGCTCTGAGAAGGAACTTGGTCAGGCTCACATGACTTTGCAGTGGCAGAGGTCACACTTGAACTCAGGCCCATATGATCTATGCCCTAATCCTGTGGGGCTGTGGAGCTGGGTCTCTGGTTTGAGTCCCAGACTCAGATGTGCCTCAGGCACGGGGTGGGCACCCCCTGGGTCCCAGCCAGAGGCTTCCAGGGGGCGCAGCTAGGCTCAGGCTTAACCCAGTTCCCAGAGGCCAGAGCCTGGTAGCCCAGCCCCTGGGCTATGGGCCCAGCTCCACCTCTAATCTACATTAGACCTTGGACAAGTCGACTCCTTATCCTGGGCCTTAGTTTCCTTGACTGCCCACAGTGATCTCTGCTGGGTAGCTCTATTCTCTTCCACCCAAGAGGCAGCCTGGTGCTGGGGAAAGAGACTTAGAGCTTTGCAGCCAGACAGATGTGTAGGTTCAAATCTCAGCTCCCCACAGTGGGACCTTGGGCAAATCACCTCACCGCACCCCTCTCGGCTTCAGGGCTTGTTTCTTTGTCTGTAAAGTGGGAATAAAGTTTCCATCTCACAGAGTTGCAGTGTGGATTAAATACTACAAGATACATGAAAGGCTGGACTCAATGTCTGGCACACAGTAGGTGCCTGATGAGACTGGGCATCTGGGCTCCCAACACCACCTTCCACTGTCTCCTGCATCACACTCTCAGCTTGAGGTTGTGGGGAAGACAGGTGGGGACAGGAGGACCCAAGGGGGTACGGTGGCACGTAGCCCACCCTTGTCCAGCCCCTGTCTCCTGAATTCAATCACCCCAGGTAGAGAGAAGCATGTGAGCTCCTGGCCACAACCCCAGGCACCTCCACCAGGGTGTCTGGAGATGCCCTCTGCTCAGAAATGGCTTGTCTCCCAGAGATTATTTTACCCTCTCTGACAGTGGGTGGCACCCGCTGGGACCAAGTGGCAGCTGATTGTGGAATCAATTTGCTCGTTTGATATGCTTTCTTAATCCCATTTAACCAAGTGCTCAGACCCCTCAGATAACAAAATCAGTGCAATCGACAGTGACAGGAGGTGCCCATTAGCTTCGCTCAATTGCCCAGCACCCACCTGGCAGTCAAGGGAGGGGCTGTGCCCGCTGTGGTCATTTCCCAAGACAGAGGACCTCTGTACGCTCTCCAGGTGAAGTCCTACAGGTGCCTGCCCTGGGAGCCATGGGCAATCCTGAAAGGGGACACAGGAGCAATGCACAGCTCCAGGGGGTTCCAGTGTATGTGGTAAGAAAGGTTCCTCCTCCTTGGGCCACATTAAGATGAGTCTCTGTTTAGCTGGCAAAGACCTGTGACATCTAGGTGGTGGGCAAAGAGAAGAGCCCTGTCCTGGCATGTCACAGGCACTGCCTGGATCCTCTATCTCTGACTCAAATGGAAGACACAGGGCACTGGTGGACCATCTGCTCTGGGCGGGGGGGCGGGGGGGGTATGAGCCTGGCCAGGCATCTAACTGGATGCTGTGTTGCCAGTGCCCAGTGTCGAATGCCAGGGCACAGATGGGCTGCTTCAGCGGGCATCTCAAGAGACAGGGGTTCTAGCTTCTCAGGGCTTTGGGGCTCTCAGGCCATTCTGACCCAGAGGAATGGAGAACCCTCCAACCTTCACCTCCCACCTTAATTTCCTCCCTCCTTCCATTTGTCTGACACATCAGAGCTGCCACGGTCTCCTGAACAGAATGTAGGCCATCTGCTCCTTCCTCACGCCTGCCAATCCATGGGGTGGGTGTGAGCCCATGGAATGACAGCCCCACCACCAGACTTGCAGAGGAACTGACCTTCTCCTTGCAAACTCTGTTAGTCTCCCCCAGGCTGTGATTCCATTCAAGTCCTCTTGCAGCCATTTTGAGGGCTGTAAGGATCAGGAATATCCTCCAGTCTTTCTCAAATGTGGCAATATTCTGTGTGAGCTGAGTCTGGAGTCCACATCCACTGATCTTTTCCTGGCAGTTAAGGATCTGGGGAACCCAGTGGGCCACAGGTAGAATATGCATCATCTCTCGAGCTACATAGTTGAATAAGTCAACATAATCAATAGCAGAGCAATCTGTACCTCAGACCAGAGATAGCAAACAAGTTTCATCTTTTATAGCCTATCTATTGGTAGTAGCTGCCCGGATAGCTGTGTTGAGAAGGATTCTGAAATCCCGTGTGGCTTCAGCAAGAAAGAACCAAAATTGATTAGCAATGTCTGCCACAGATAGAGGGGGTTATAGCATGCCTTATGTCTATCTGTTATCCTTGCTTTAGACACTGCCTTAGATGGACCCCGGCTAGTGTCCAAAAGATAAAGGGAATTCAGGGAGACACAGCAAATGGGGAAGGGAACGAATATTATCTCAGTTAAGCCTAAAAAACACCCATTTTACAGATGAGAAAGCTGAGGTTCAGAGAGTTTAGTTTATTTACCTGAGGTTGCACAGTTCCAAAGTGATGGACCTGGGCTTTAAAGCCACATCTGCCTGACTCCAGAGCTTGGCTCTTCCCACTCTACTCACAGTGCTGCTCTAGAAAAACCATAAAAAAGGGAGAGGGACTGAATAAATTATTATCTTAGGAGACATGAGAGAAATGGGACATAATGGGACCCTAACAAAGAAGTCATGCACCCATGAGGGAATCTAAATTGAAACTTCAACTATATGAAGCATTTTACTGAGGCTAATGACCAACAGATTCACTGAGAACAGAAAATGAACTTGAATGTCCTATAATCTCAAGCATAAGAGGCACTGTAGTGGGGGCAGCACTCTTGCTAAGGTTCTCATCTCAGTTCCTCAACTGACTGGCCGTGTGACTTTGAGCAAATCACTTCCTTTCTCTGGCCTGTTTCCTCATCAGTAAGATAGGCCCTTAAGCTACATTAATGATGGCAAATATTTGTCATGTCAGTCTGAGGTTTCAGGCATGGCTGCCTGTGTTGGGAAGGATTCTGAAATCCGAATCAGGATAGGAGGAAATAGTGCAATGATGGATTAGCAACGTCTGCCTCTGGTGCTGGAGGGGGAAGGATAGCTTGTGTGCCATCCTTGAAGTATGCGATATCATCTCACTTCCAGTTTAAGATTCTATAGCTCCATGATTCTCAACAGTGAACACACTCCCCAAGGTTCTCTGTCAAAAGAGAGATGGATGTCCCACTGCCTGGGCTGGGTATGTTGCTGCTCCATGTGGGGCAGGGGGAAACCCTGTGATCATTCGTTATTATTTCAGGACTCTCCTCAAAGGCCCCAACCATGGGCGAAGGGCAGGCCCCAGGCATCGAGGAGACAGATGGGGAGCTGACAGCAGTCCCCACACCTGAGCAGCCAGACGGAGGCATCCACTTCGTCACAACAGCCCCTACCCTGAAGCTGCTCAACCACCACCCGCTGCTAGAGGAATTCCTCCAAGAGGGGCTGGAGAGGGAAGAAGAGGCGCTGAAGCCAGCACTGCCCTTCCAACCTGACCCACCTACACCCATCACCCCGAGTCCCCTCCCTCGCCTGGTCAACCAGGACAGCCGCCCCATTTTCACCAGCCCTACTCCGGCCACAGCCGCAGCACCCACTCAGCCCCAGTCCAGGGAGGGCCCCTGGAGCCTGGAGTCAGGGTCCCCTGCACTTCTCATCACAGCTCCTCTACCTCCAGGGCCCAGCATGGCAGTGCCCACCCCAGGCCCAGGGGAGAGGCCCGGTAGTATGCCCCCTGGCAAGGCATGGACTCCAACCCAAGAAGGTCCAGGTGACATGGGCAGGCCATGGGCTCCAGAGGTCATGTCCCAGACCACAGGGCTCAGGCTCGAGGGGACCACTGTGACCTCTACAGCTTCAGGGGACGATGAGGAGACCACCACCACTACCACCATCATCACCACCACTATCACCACAGTCCAGCCACCAGGTCAGCTGCCTGCTGGCTTGCAGATCACAAAATGGGCATGGAGGTGGGGAGCTATGGGACTCCTAAGTTCCTCTGTCTCTGACACTATGCAGCTTGCCCTGCCATTTGGCACCAAGGGCCAGCCTGCAGGAGGCAATGGATTAGAGCCAGATAGACCAGGTTCAAATCCTGATTCTTCCAACTACAGCAAGATCCAAGGAATTTTCTTTAACTTCTCTGAACCTCATCTATAAAATGGTGATAAGACCTACCTAGCTCATTGAACTATTGTGAGAATTGAGATAAGTTTGCACATAGTAGATGTTCAATAAAAGGTGGTCCCTTCTTACAACAGGAGAATAGGTATCATAACAGATGGGCTTCATACACACACACACACACACACACACACACACACAGAGTCCAGCCTTACCTGAACCCACTTTACTAGAGCTGAGCTTACCCTTGTGTCTCCTCCTGCCTCCCAGGCCATTGTAGCCAGAATTTCTCAGGCCCAGAGGGCTCCCTGGACTCCCCCACAGCTTCCAATTCATCCGCTGATGTCAGCCTGGACTGTTTCTACTACATCTCAGTCTATCCTGGCTATGGCGTAGAAATCAAGGTAAGTGGCCTGGATCTGGGAGGGGCAAAGCTGGGAGGGGCAAAGCTCTTTTCCCAGCAAGGTGCTGGCTGTGGGGGAAGGGGAAAATGTTCACAAACATCAGTTGGAAGGGGGCCTAGGGCCAGGGTTGGGAGATAAGCCTGAAGTAAGGTCAGATTCTGTCCCATCCACCAGGGTGTGGACAGGGCTACTGCTTCGCCTCAGCAATGTCCTAGGCTGGGAGGGGCTGTGGAAGGGGCAGGGTATACCCGCCCCTTCCCCCAGGGATCTGACTGGGGCTTCAGGAAAGGGAGAGGAGGGGGCTCTAGCCTTGGATGAATGTAGACTCTTGTCTGAATCTCTGTGGTTGAGTGGAGAGAATGCAGGGCTGCCTGGTTGGGCTTGAGGGCCGCAGAGCCATTCGCTCATTCATTCATTCAGCAAATACTCCCTGAGCAGCTCCTCTGGGCTAGGCCCTGTGTTGGCTCCCAGGATGCGGCAGTGGCGTCGATAGACACAGCTACCCCACCAGAGAGGGGACAGTCTGGTGGGGGAGTCAGACCTACAGGCAGCAGTGACTATGAAACAAGTGGCCCTGGCCTCCTGCCCCAAGCCCCAGGCTCCCTGGGCAATCTCATTCCTCCCATGGTGGCATCTCTCTGCTGGTGACCCTCACACCCCTAAATCTAGCTCTGACTCGTTCTCAATCCCAAGGCCTGAGCCTGCAGGAACTCATGATGTCCCACAAGCTCCTCAATCTCAACATACCCCAAACCCAAGTCTTCCTCCTCATCTTCCCAAACCTGCTCACCACCCCATCCTCAGAGACTGACACCAACCAACCAGAAACCTGGAGCAGGGTCACAATGGAGTAATTTTTCTCAAGGGAAATTGATCCTGCCCCCTAAGCCTCCCCAAGGCCCCTGAATCAAGGCTGCTCCCTGTGGACCCCACCCACACTACCTGGCTCACCTCCAGCCACACTACCTGGCTCACCTCCAGCCACTTCCTCCCTTGTTCCCTACTCTGCCTCTGCACTGAACAGCCAAGCCTTCTTTGACCGTGAGCCCCAACTGCACATGCTTTTTCCCCTGCCTGGAACAGTCATTCCACCATCCCCTTCCTTAGGATTCAACCCTGGCATCATATTTTCTGGAACTCTCTCCTGATCCCCAAACCTGGACCATGACCATCCTAGCTCTTATCACACTGCCTTTTATCAGTCTGTTCCTAGCTTTCTACTTCCCCAGCTAGACTGTGAGTTCCTTGAGAGTACCTTGGAGTACAGGGCCCAGATGGGTACTCCCGTGCTGATCGAATGAATGGACGAAGGAATGAATGAATGAATGAGGTGACATCTGACCTGGATCTTGGAGACTGAACAGGGGTGGGGAGGAGAGAGGCCTTCAGACCAGGCGAGGGAATCAGGCAGGCTACTGAGGAGCCACAAGGAGGGGACAGGAGGAGTCGAGGGAGCAGGGCGGCACTGCCGGGTCCCCACCTCCCAGTATGCATCTCACCCATCCCAACTCCCCCAGCCCCTGGATTTTGCCCTGAAGCTATCCATCCCTGACGTGGGGCAGTGCCTCCAGGCCTCCCCTCTGAAACCATCAGGCCTGGCAGATGGAGAGTTCTCTGAGCCAGGCCCTGTGTGGGAGGGGGGACCATCTTAAGGGGGGCCTACTTCAGGCCCTCTCCCACCCCCTGGCGGGCCCTTCCCCTTCTTTCTGCAATTGTTTGCTCCTGCTCTGCCAAGCCCTGTGCCCCTAACTCTGGACTAACTGGGAAGGTAATTAGAAACAGCCACCACCACCACCCCCAAGCCATTAGCACTCAGCGCCGCTTAATTAAGGTAATTAATGTAAAATCATCACCTAATGAGAGGTGACACCGGCTGTGGCTCACCGGGTGGAAGACAGTCAGCTGCAGGTGTGGGGAATGGGGTGGGAAGGGCAGATGCCAGGCTGAGTGCCCCCCTGCAGGTCTGGGCTGCCTGCCCCTCAAGCCTCCCACTTCCACTCAAGCCCACTGGGCCAGGCTGGGGACAGGCCTAGTACCTGCCACAGTGGAGCAAGATGCTGGCTCAGCCTGCCCTGTCCTGACCTGACCCAGGCCCCACCCTGCATGCCCATCCCCTCATACAAGCCCTGTGTCTGTTGTCTGGTGCTGCCACAGTTTTTCATCAGAATGCAAAAGCCGTTACCAGGCAACCTTGAGACAAAGACCTGCCACAGCCCGGGATTGTTGTCAGGAATTGTGGCAGGCAGAGGCTGGCCCCACCCTCGATCTCGGTATCCTGGATCCCCAAGGGCCCTGTTGGCCCTGATAGCCTGACATAGTGTTAGAGGCCATGTGGGGGCAGGGGCCAGGGTGGCCAGCGCTGGGTCAGCACCAGCAGTGGGGATAAGGAGACAGAATCAGGGCTGAAGCAGGACTTAGGCTTTTCTGCTTCCAGGGCTGATTCTGGCAACCCCTACTCCCTCCCAGGCCTCCTGGCCACTCACACAGGCCACTGGGACCTGAAGAAGTACTGACACTGCAGATCTATACCCACTGAATAGTTGAAACACCAGGGCCTAGGCAAGGAAAAGGAATCGCCCAAGGTCACTCAGTTAATCATTCACTCGGGTTTTTTGAGAAACAAATTTGTTCCACCAACATGAATTCAGCATTTGCTGTGTGCCTGGCCCTGTGCTGGGCGCTGGGGACACAGACCTTCACAGTTATCGGGGAGACAGAAATCATAAACAATGACCATAGAATGCTCAGTGCTGTTGGGGACAGCGTGGGAAGCTGTGGGGCTGTGGAGATTCAGGGGCAGGCACGCCTCACCAGCCTAGAAGTCACGGAAGGCTTCCTGGCAGTGAGGATCCCTGATCTGACACTTGAGGATGAGAAGCCTGCAGCCAAACCTGGGCTGAGAAGCAGCAGGTTGGCAGGCCCGGCCCTTGAAGGCTGCCATGGCTGTTTTGTAAACGTGACTTTATTGCGTAGGAGCAGGGGTGGGCTTAAGGACTCCTACCAGAGGCCAGGCCCGAGAGCAGTGCCCTCCTGCCCAAGGCTGGCAGTTGAGCCAGGCCACACTGGGCATTGGGCAGGGACGACAGGTGAGGGGCTGGAGGGCCTAGAAATCCGCCTGTTGTCTTCCAGGCTTGGGGAGAGGGGACCGCCTATGGTGTCTCCATATCCTAGAAAAGCTCCCACTCACCCCTCCATGAAGTCACAGAGACAGCTCAGAGTAGGTGGGAGTGGGGAGGGGATGGAGTACAGGTAAGGGGGATGGGAAGAACCATGGGAGGAAAGGAGCATCTTAAGGACTGCAAATCACAACGCTGAGTAGGTCAGCTTGATGCCGTGGTAGCTCCTGCCATGTGACTGCAGCCCTTGCTGGAGTCTGGGGCTGGGCAGTTGTTGCCATTGCCTTTGAGGTGATTCCTATTCATGGTGACCCCATGTGTGTCAGAGTAGAATTGTGCCCCATAGGTTTTCAAAGGCTGGTTTTTCAGAAGTATATCACCAGGCATTTTTTTCTGAGTTACCTCTGGGTAGACTCAAACCTCCAACCTTTCAGTTAGCAGCTGCGTGTGTTAACTGTTTGCAAAATCCAGAGACTCCAGGCTGGGCAAGACACTCTCAGTTTCCTGTTTGCAGCCTCAGAGGTGCCAGAATCCCTCAAAGCCTAACTCTCCATGGCTTGGAGCACAGCCCCTCATAGCCTACTTCATCCTCCACCTCCCACCTCCCTTTTTGTCTCTGCAGCTGCTTGTGACCTCTGATCAGCCCACAGGCAGGAGGCCACCGCAGGCCCTCCAAGATCAGAGGAGCCTCGCCTGCTGCAGCCAGGGTCGGGCACTGGCCTAGGCTCTGTTCTGAGAGGTCCAGAGTCTCCCCTTGAGGATGGCTGGCAGGAGCCCATGGCCCATATGGATTCCACCCCTTCCTCAGCAGCCAGTATCCCCCTGAGAGCTCCAGGCCTTTCTGGGCCTGGTGACTGCCTCTTGCTGTGCCTGGCATGCCAAGAGCACTCCCACTGCCAGCCCCCACCTTGGTTTGGCTGCTCTCCGTACCATCTGGAGCCTGGGCACAGCTGCCCACAATCCCTGCCAAAGTGCCCCAGAAGGCCCCTTTGGCACATGGTTTTCCCATGCCAGTTGGCTGCTGGCTTGGTAGCCAGAACTCTGCCCCTTTCAGTCAGGTCAGGACCAGGCCCAAGGTGGGCACCAGGAGTGGGGTAGGGAGTTGATGGGGTGGGATTTTTGGGCAACCTCCCCAGAGGAGGCTGTGTCCCCAGCCTAAGCCTCTTTGATGGTTCCCAGAAGAGCCATCTAAGGGGACCACTGGGGTGGAAGGTAGGTCTGGCCCCATGGATTTAGGCCTCTCACTCTACCCCATCCCTAAAACAGACCCTGCCTCACACAAGGGCACAGAGACTCCCATGTAGGACAGAGGTGCCAGTTCTCACTCTGCTGTCCACTTCTGGAGGACTAGGCTGAGCCCTGCCTTCTCTGGGCCTCAGTTTCCCTCTTTGTAAAAGGAAGAGATTGAACCAGATGATGCAGAAGGCCTGTCCTAGCCAGTCCCTGTGTGCGCAGCTCCTTTTCTGGGTCCAAGAAGCTCCTTCATGGGCCAGATGGAGCAGCAGTGCTCAAGCCCTTGGCCCTGCTTCTTGCTTCCTGGCAGCTGCTGAACCTGGGCCAGGAGGAGGGTGGTTCCTGGTTTCAGTGCCTCCCAGACAGGCCTGGCAGACCTGAGGGTGAGATGAGCCCACAGCCAGCTGCCACCAGGGCAAATGCCAACAGCTGATCAGGGTGGGGCCCATGTCTCCCCAAGAAAGGTACCTTCTGGGTACCTGTGCTGAGCCGCTTACAGACAGGATCTAACTTAGCCCTTACAGCCCTGTGAGGTAGGCATGAATTCCCCATTTAACAGACAAAACTGGGCTCAGAATGGTCATGTGACTTGCCTAAGCAACCTCAGTTAGTCAGTGATGGAGCTGGGACTTGATCCCAGAACTGAAGAGCCCCTGTTCCTCCCCTAGCCCATGAGGTTGGCATGGATGGGGCATGGGTCAAGTCCAGAGAGGGAGTGCTGGGCAGGGACAGGTCCCTGTCTGGACTCCACCCCACCTCCCCTTCGTCAGCCTTGCCCTGCCTGACCCAGGCCCATAGGACAACCATCTGGAGTCCTCCTAGTCCTGGGGAGGGGCCGGGGCACTGTGCATGAAGACAGGGCACTGGACCAGGAATCAGGAGTTGGACTTAGTGTGTGACCCAAGGGGGATCTCTCAACTTCTCTGACTACAGGTTTCCCTCATCTATAAAGTGGAGCTAGACACAGCTGTCCTACCTCCTTATTGGGGTTTTGTGAGACCTGAGAGGATAGTGGGTGTGAAAGAGCTTTGAAAACTATAAGGGCCTTGTAGAGAAAATTGTGATTATTCTATTGGTGTGAGGGGCTGTGTGCATGCAGGTGGGCCTGTGTCAGAGCCCACACAGGTGGGGCGGGTGGGGGGTGACCAAGAAAGTCTAGCGTGGAGGAGGGGCTGTGGCCAGTATTTCTGAGGGGTGGGGTTCAGAGACTGGGAGGGGGGTCTCACACCATAGTCATCCTTGAGATCATTCACAGGGTTGTACTTGAGCAAATGTATACAAAAAATTGTGGCACCTTCCCACGTATGGGTCACACCATTAGGGTATGTAGCTGCGGACCTGACTAGCAGTTTCCATGGGGATGGACAGGTCAGTCAAAGCTGATATCTAGGGGTTGGGAGAGGGCAACCTGAATCCTCCCCACCTCCCACCCATGAGGGAGCCACCCTCTAGCTGGCTCTATTTCCTTCTTTGAAGTGACCTCATGGTTGGCTGCAGTGTTAGACAGCCCAGAGCCCTGTGGGATTTGTCCTCAGCTCCCTCTACTTCTGTTTTCCCCCTGCCCGCTCCCCTCCCCCAGGCCCCTCTTGTCATTGGCAAGGGTTGTGGGAAGATGGCCTTCATGAGCAGAGCTGACATTTCAATCTGTCTCCCAAGATCATCACACGCCTGCAAATTGCATCAAGACTTCATCACCCCCCTTGTCCAACACCCGGCCCTATCTGGCCTGTCAGGTCTGACCCTCAAACAAGTGACAAATTACATTCCAGCCACCGTGGCAAGCCCACAAGTGGGTGCTTGAAACCCAAGGGACCAGAGCTGCCCAGACAGCCTCTGGCTGAGAACAGGTGCCTTCTAGGTGGGAGCCCCAAGCAAATAGCCCACTCCATCCCACACTTTCATCCCAACCTTCCCCACCAGACTTGAGGGGGCCATGCCTTCCCCAGACCAGAGGCTGCCAGAAGCCTCAGCTCCCAGTTTCCCCAGTTTTCCAGGCTTCTGGGGGAAGGATAGCTGGTGAGAACACAAATCTCAACTTCTTGGAAAAAGCTAGGCTTGGCTAAGATCTACCTCCTTGCTAAACCTGGGGGCCTGGGGATAAAGACGTCTAGAAATCTGCTTCTGCAGGTGACACCCCGTGAAGTTGGGAGGAGGAGGGAGTTGTCTTTGCCTCCTATAAGGCAAGACTCTGCTACTTAACACCAGTGTGGCCTTTGGCAAGTTCCTTAGCCTCTCTGAGCCTCTGTTTATTTATGGGGATTTTACCACCTACCTTATAGAATTGTGCGGTGGTTGCTGTTTGGTGCCTGTAGAGTCAGTTTCGACTCATAGCAACCCCATGTGACAGAATAGAACTGCCCCATAGGGTTTTCTAGGTTGTATTCTTTATGGGAGCAGATTGCCAGGTATTTTCTCCCACGGAGCCACCAGATGGGTTCAAACTGCCAATCCTTCAGATAGCAGCTGAGCGCTTAACCGTTGTGCCACCAGGGCTCTTTATAGAATTGGGGTAAGGGTGAAACAACTGGCATAAAACACCTAGTACAAGGCTTGACACATTGCAGGTGCTCTGTGAGCGGCAATTGTTATTGCTGCTGCCCTCTGACCCCACAAAGCAAAAGGGTCAGAGTTGGAAGCTAGAGGTCAAGAGGGTATATATGGAGAGCTAGGAAGAAAATACATACTAAGTGAATTTCTACTTCTCTGACTTTGCCTTCTTAATTTCCCTGCAGCGAATGTCCTCCCTCCCCACTTGTCACAGCCCCCCCTTCAAAGTGCTGTCAGGCCCCACCTGCTCCATGAGCTTTCGCTGAGCCTCCAGTCCCTCCAGCTCCCCCTTTGAGGATTCTTGCCACACACATTCAGTGCCACTTAAGGCCGAATTAGATGCTGCCTGGCATCTCTCGATAATTACAGATTCCACGTGTATGAGTCTTGTTTTCCCAACTCTGGAATCACAGAATCTCCAAGTTTGAAAAAACCTCATCCAGCCTCCGCCTGCAGCAGGAACTCCCTGAGGAATGTTCCCGGCAGATGGTCAGGCAGCCTCCACCCAAACGTGCCCAGGCGGGGGCTCCTCATGAAGAGGAGGCACTTCTGCCCCCAGCACCCAGCCTTAAGCCTTCTCTTCACCCCCTGAAAACCTACTAGGTCCTTCCTCCCAGGCAGGAGTGGGGACCTCTCCCTGCCCAGCTGCCCCCACTGAAGTCCCCATAGCATAGCCGCTCTCAGCACCCCAGTCTGGGGACCTGGGGCCTGGAGCCTGGCAGAAGGCTGTTTCCCAGGACCTGAGGCTCAGCATCCTCAGTGCTTCTCAGCTCACAGGACACCGCTGAGGAATGAGTGGCCCATTCATTCACTCTCTCCACACATCTTTATTGAGACTGGCCAGGGAAGAGGGCATCATGACCCAGAATGCCACCCCGGGCTTTCATAGAGAAATGGGTGGAAGACAGGTGGGGAGAGCCTGAAGCAGAGGGACTGCCTGGACTGACCTGGGAGGCAGAGGATGGTGGCCCTGAGATCCAAAGGGATGACCAGCTTCCCCGGGAGAGGGAGAGAGGAAGGCATTCCTTGTGCAGGGTCTCACCTATGCAAATGCCCAGAGGTCCCAGAGGGGTGGGAGTGGGAGGTGGCCTTTGGCCGCAGTACAGGTAAATGAGGCTGGCAAAGCCAGTGGGGCCAACTGGGAGGTTTGGACCTTGTCCTCTAGGAAGTCTGAAGTCACCAGCAGGTTTTGGTGGGAGAGAGACATGATCTGACCTGAGACAGCTAGGGCCTGGGAGATGAGTCGGGGATGGGAGGAGTGAGACAGGGATGGTTAGAGGAAGCTACTCTCCATGTGAGACACAATGGGTAGGGGGCCATCAGAGCCAAGACAAAGACAAAGGGATGAAGGGGGGAGCCTATTGGAAAGACATTTGAAAGGTAAGATTAGGAAGCATTTGGTGACTCACTGGATGCCACTTAACCAACCCCAGTAGTTAACCCATGAAGGTCCTGTCTTGTAGGGACCTTGGAGACCATGTAGGATCAGTGTTGCTGAATTGGTCAAGGATCTTGTTTAAATTCAGATTACAGTTCAGTACATGTGAGGTGGGGAATGAGATTCTGCATTTCTAATAAGCTCCCAGGTGATGCTGATGTTGCTGGCCCAGGAGCCACATTTTAAGTAGCAAGGACATATCCTAGGCCATTTTATAAGATGAGGAAATGGAGGCTCAGATAGTTAGTATACTTGTCCAAGATCACATGGTTAGGATGAGGTTCTAGATCTCTGGGCTCCAATCCAGTGCTCCTTCCACCAGGCTACACTGCCACTTCCCATCCAGGCAGTCTGTTGCTGTCCAATCCTTTGATTCGTTTGACTGAATGGAGACATAGAGACCAGAAGGATGCTCCAGGGGTTGAGGGCCTGAGGACTTGGGTGGTAGCAGATCTGTGACAGCCAGAGGGAGGGGCACTGAGAAAGAGGTCCATAGAAGAGAGAGAACAGCAGTGTGGCTGGCATGTGGAGGGGCGTGGCATAAGGCTTAGCAGTTGGCAGGGGCCAGGTTGGGCAGGGCCTTCGGGGCCCAGGAAGGAGTTTGGACTAGATCCAATAGGTTCCATGGGCTAAATGGGGAGCCACTGGAGGATTTAAAAGAGGAAGTAACATGATCAGCAACAGGTTTGGGACTGCAGCTCACGGGATATTGATGTTGGCGGAGGAGCCCTACAGATAGGGAGGCTGTCAGGAGGGTGCTGAGGTGATCTAGGTGAGCAACACTATTGGGGACCTGGGGAAGTGATAGTGGGGGTGATCTGAGGTCCAACTGACAGGACTGAATGACTGATTGGATATGGCGTGTGAGGGAGGAGGCAAGATGCCAGTTTCTGACGTGAGCACTTGGTGGATGGTGAAGTTATTCCCTTAGATGGAGCGCCAAGGGGAGCTACTGATTGGAGAAGGTGGTTCAGTCAGTATGAAGCAGGATGGATGTTTGATGTCCCTTCAAACTGGGTGAGGCATCCAGCAGGGGATGTCCAAGGGCAGCTGGGCACCTAAGTCCAATGCTTAAGACCTCACATTGCTGGCTAGACCCTCAGACACCATCTAGTTCAATACGCCTACCCCATCCCCACTTCACAGATAAGAAAACTGAGCCAGGGAGGGGAAGGGACAGGAAGCAGCTGGGGTAGTAGAAAAGGCTTTGGAGACAGACCTGCTTACAAATCCCAGTTCTGCTAACAATCTGTGTGACCTTGAGTAATTTACATAGTGTCTCTGAGCCTCAGATCCCATCTCACGGAGTTGTGGGAAGGTAAGCTGAGCCCCTCCTGTACAGCAGTGCCTAACTCAGGACCTGGGGGCTCTGGCGACCAAGGGATGGGGAAGCAGCAGGGTTGGCCATGCCCAGGGGTTGAAGGAGCCTGAGGGCAGCAAGGCTCAGGTGGCAGGAAGAAGCCTGACTGCTCTGCTTTGCTCTCTCTACTCCACCGGCAGGTCCAGAACATCAGCCTCCTAGAGGGGGAGACCGTGACTGTGGAGGGCCTAGGGGGGCCAGACCCGCTGCCCCTGGCCAACGAGTCTTTCCTGCTGCGGGGCCAAGTCATCCGCAGCCCCACACATCAAGTGGCCCTGAGGTTCCAGAGCCTCCCACCACCTGCCGGGCCTGGCACCTTTCATTTCCACTACCAAGGTAGGTCTGGGCAGCCAAGGCAGGAGCTAGCCTAGCCTGGTTGCCCTCCTGGAGGTCTCTGATCCTATTACACCCTGGGGAAAAACATAGAGGGGCTAGTAACATACAACAAGGTGCCCAGGGAAGCTCCATACAACTGGAGGTGGGTAGACACTTAAACAGGCAATAACGATAGAAGCCCTCCCTGTAAATGCAAGGCGGTCAAGGTCAAAGGGGTTTGACAACGCCTTAGGAGGACCTTAGCTGCCATCTTGGCCTTCCCGAACTGCCTCATCCACCCTGGACTTGGCCCACACCTGTCAGCTCTGCTTAGAACACCTCAGGAAGCAGGGGAGCAACACAGTAGCATGATGTTCTGAGAAAATTACAGACTCAGGAGAAGGTCAGATCTGTGTTTGAATATCCTTCCCACTGGTTTCTGACCTCTCTGATCCTCCTTTTCCTCTGCTGTAAACACCACAACACCTACCCCACAAAGTCGTGGTGAGGATTAAACAAAACGGTGCGAGTCAAGTGCTTAGCACAGGCTCTGTCAAGGAAACTAGTAAACAGCTGTTGGGGGGGGGTGCAGGAAGGAAGGGGGAGACTCTGCTGCTCTTCCCTTAGCACTCCCCCTCCCCCACCCCCGCCCCAGACAGAGTCATCTTGAGCCTTTGCACCTTCTGCACAGCTGCTACAGGTTAACCCAACTCAGATTTGGGAGGCGCTAATGGGGAAATAATTGGTGTGAACAATTACAGGATTGTCTTGCGTTGTCATGGACCACTTCTGCAGCCCTGTGGGGGGCCATAGCTAGAAGGAGGGTGGGCACTCCTCTGGGAATCCTGAATGCTTGGAACCACAACCTAAGGAGCAGTCACCCTCTCCTGACCTCCCCACCCAAGCTGGGAGTAGCAGTCCTGGCACGCTGGCAGCAGGGAGCCTGGTGGTGGGCAGGGGCTGGGCAGAAGCCAGGGGCCAGCTGAGGCAAGGGTGAGCATCTAGGCGTCCTGGCCGGCCTCCCTAACAGCTCATCAATCCTCCCTAGTGGCGGGCATAATTTCACGCCATGGTAACCTTCTCTCTTGCTGCAAATTCCTTTGCACAAAACCCTGGACCTCCTCTCTGTTGGGCCAGACCAAGGTGGCTGACAGGCAGTGAGTTGGAGGCCGGGTGGGCAAGGGGGAGCTGACCCCAAGGAGGGCCTGGGAGAGCCGGCCCAGTCCTACCTGCTTCTCAGCTGCCAGAAGCCCTCCCTCCTCGGCCCAGTTTTTGTCAATGATCAGCTCTTTCCTTAATGAGTGTAATTCCCCTAATTATAGGCTGTAATTAGCCCTGATCCTGGAGAATAGGAGGAGCATGTGCCCACATGCATCTCCGTGGGCAGAGAAAGAGGGAGTCAGAGGAGTGGAGAGGCCTTGTATCTACACCCCTGCCAGAGGTGCCCAGGCTGGTTGCTGTTGGAGGTCACAAGGATGGGCCCCTACAAGGGCCTCATCTGCAGGGCTAAGTTCCAACTCCCCTCCCACAGGCTCAGGCAGGGTGGGGAGATAGAGGGCTCTGTCAGGCATCCTCCTCCTCCATCCTGAGCCTTCCTGGCACTGAACTTGGCCCCAGAAACAGACGCCAGTGAGAAAATAACTCGACAGATTGCAGTGGTGCAGGCTCCCCGGGAACAGTCGTCATGGCAACAAGAAGAAGCTCACCCTGGGAAGTGGCACTTCACCCACTATGGAGATTGGGGGCTTCTTATCTGCCCTAGCCTCCTGCCTCTCACCCCATCCTGGCCCAATTTCTTCATCTGTGAAATAGGTGTCCTGCCTTGCCAAAGATGTGATGAGAACTCGAGGGGAAGATGTAAGTACAAGTGTGAGTGTGACATCTGGTCCTTGCCTAGATCCCCACACTCCCCCACCCTACCCCGCCCCGTGTAGCCTCGCACTCCCTTCCATTCTGAGTTCAGTGTCCCACATCCTCTTCCTTATCCCATCCTGGGCCCAGATCCCACCCCAGGCCATTGTGAGTGGCTGTCCTGAACAACCACCCAGGGTGATCTGTCCCAGTTTGACCTCCTGCTGAGAATTTGCATTTCTAACAAGTTCCCCAGAAGTTACACATAGGTGATTCTTATGTCAAAGCCCTGTGCCTGTTAACTCTCAGGCTACTCTGACTCCTGAGGCCAGGTTTCCACCGTCACCTGTAGAAGCAGGTGTAGGGGAGGGAAAACAAATGGGCTTTAGAGCCAGGAGCTTCAAGTGCCTGCTTTACCACTTACATGCTGTGTGATGAGGAAAAATTTCTCAATCTCTCTCTGAACCTTAGCTTTCCTCATCTGAAATTGGGTTAAAACCTCTACCTTGCCTTCCTTTCTTCCAAACATATTGTAGACTTCAAATAAGAAGAGAGTGAAGGCATTTCAGAAGCCGGAAGGTGCATGTAGATGTGAGGTGCTATTATTAATCAAGATTACATACAATAACAGCAGGCTAGTGTGCTAGGTATTTGTTCAGTGTCAGGCACTCCATATATGTCCTTTCACCTCACCTCCACAGCACTGAATGCAGTACTGATTAAATGAGTGGGTAAACAAGGAAACGAAAGCACAGAGGCATTAAGTAACTTGCCCAAGGTTGCACAGCAAACCCAGGCAGTCTGACCCCAGAGCCTACCTCCTAAGCACCATCTGCCAATCAGGATTAGCCTTTCATTAGTCACTCACTGAAGAACTCTATGAGACAGGGAATCATTTCCCCATTTCACAGACATAGTAACTAAGGCCAGGAGAGGTGAAAGTCACAAAACTGAAAGCCACAAAACTCAAGTGTCTGGACCCTGGTCTGCCCAGAGGTGACCCTTTTTTCTAGCCACACAAAAGAACATAGAGGCTAGGGTAGCACCTGCCGGGACCTCTCTTCCCATCCACCTGGTACCACCAATAAGGGTAATTTGTCTCAGTCCCCATCCCTCCTATCACCCCCCAGTGGTTTTCTGGATCTTTAGCCTAACCCTTCTCTCAGCCTTTCTCCTTGCCTCCCTCCAAGCCTTCTCCCCAACCTCTCAGACCCAAGCCCTGACTCTCTTGGTCCCAGGTTGGGATTTGCCAGGTTGTTTGGTAGGATCTGCTGCCACCACTTGGCCATACTTAGTATGACAATTCCAAAAGCTACCAGGTTTCCCAGGGAACTTGTTCTTCCCCCAATTTCAAAGAAGGCATGCGCTGCACCCACCCTAGCTCCCTTCTGTTTTTAAAAATCCACCGCTGTTTCCATCAAACATTTTAGTATTTCTCCATGAATAAAAAAGAAGCTTTTGCTGCCTGCCTTCAATCTTTCCTGCTGCAATGCATATTTATCCTCTGTAAGAAAAATATCAACACTTTACATAGGCTTTTCACTTTTCCAGGTGCTTTCCCATTTATAAGTCATTCAATAAACATATCTTGAAGATATACTATCAGCTGAGTTCCAGAGATACCAAGCTAAATAAAATATAATCCCTATTTTATTCTCACAATAACCCTGTAGATGGGCTGGCATTCTGAGCCTCATTTCACAGATGAAGAAACAGACACAAAAAGGTTAAGTAACCTGCTCAAAGTGTCACAAAGCTTGGACCAGAACCCAAGCCTCCTATCTTCCAGCTCTGTGCTTGCTCCACTAACCAGCCCAGACTGCCGGAAATATCATGGGCAGGCACCTTTAGGGGAGGGGACTGGAGTCTTTTCTGCAATTCCTCATGCTTCCTCTGGCCCCACATGACACTTCTTGGCAATGGAGGCTGGGGCTGGCCCTTTTTCCCCTGACTATGGCTCAGCGCCCCCTTCCCATAACACCTTCTCTCTCTCCACAGCCTATCTTCTCACCTGCCACTTTCCCCGACGTCCAGCTTATGGAGACGTAACTGTCAACAGCCTCCACCCAGGAGGCAGCGCCCGCTTCCACTGTGCCAGTGGCTATCAGCTGAAGGGCGCCAGGCTCCTTACCTGTCTGAATGCCACCCAGCCCTTGTGGGATTCCCAGGAGCCTGTCTGCATTGGTGAGTGGCCCCAGAGGAAAGGACTCAATGCTGAGCAGGGAAGTGTGAGTCCGGGGGAACTCATCCCTGCTCTCTGCTGCTGGCTGGCACTGTCCCTGAACCTCACTCTCCATAAGGAGCCAGAAAATGGCCACATTCGATGACATTCATCCAACATGCATTTATTAAGTACCTACTAAAAGGAGGCACACAGGTATACAGAGCTGAATTAAACAGGGACTTCAAAGAACCCACAGTTTCAGGAAACAGGGGAAGAAGAAAGCACATAGGTGGCCAACTTCCAGAGCAGGAAGTAAAAAGTGCCATAGAGGAGACACAAAGTACCCTGGGAGGAGGGGAAGCAATCACTCTTAGTTGGTATTTAGCAGGCCTCCTGGGAGAAGTGACACTGAAGGTTTGCCATTTCAGTGGAGGGGACAACATGGGCAGTGGCACAGAGGTGGGAAGGAGAGCAGGGGTGGGGGGTTAGGGACACTGAAGACAGACAGGTTTGGCTGAGCCTGAGGCATGTGGAGGGGGCAGGGGAGGGTCTTGACCATCAGGCCAAGATACTGGGGAGCTGTTGAAGGTTTTTGAGAAGAGAAGAGAAAAGCTCAGAACTGCCTCTCAGGAGAGCCAGCCAGGTGGTTGTCTGGAGGCTGGAAGCAGAGTCTGGAGGCTCTGCCTAGCAAGAGGGTCTGCCCTTCGACAGCGACCTTGGGAACGGAGAGCAGGGCAGAGGGTCCAGAGACACTGCAGAGGAAAAGGGGACTCCCAGGTTCTGGTCCTGGATCATCAGGAGGTTTGGGGTTCTGTCAGTGGAAGGGGTTTGTTGGAGAAAGGAAGATGAAGTGCTTGGTTTGGGATATGAGAGGCACTTGGGCTTTTGAACCTTATTTCATTGTATAACCCCTTCCTGGGTGCCAGGCACAACCAGAGATGAATAAGACAGATGTGGTCTCTGCTCTCCAGAAGCTCCCCATCTAACGGGAAGACTGGCAAGAAGCTCAGTGAGGACAGTGCCGTGCAGAAAGTGCTGTGATGGGGCAAATGTGGGGTGGGGGGACCCAAGGGAGGAAGAGCTGATCCAGAGTGAGAGGGGGGCAAGGAAGGTTAAAGGAATGTTAGCTAGAGGAAGTGGGGTGGATTCCTGGAACAGCACATGCAAAGGTGTGGAGGCATGAAACAGCCTGACATAGTGAGGACAGAGTGAGCTGTGCCCGAAGGAAAGGGGCTGTGGGGAGAGGAGGCTGAAGCTGAGTGGAGAAGTTGCCTTCATAATGGGCCTTGAATGTCATTTTGAGTTTGGACTCTGTCCTAAGGGTAATAGGGAGCCACTGAGAGATTTTAAGCAAAGGATGGAGCATGATCAAATTTGAAGGGCAGTTCCATTCTGAGACCAAGCAGAAAGGTGGCTCTGCTGTCTCTGCAGAGAAGAAACTTACCCCTTTTCCCCCGAGAACTTTATTGGGTTAAAATATTCTGTCGCCTTGATCATTTAAAGGCAAAGGTACCGCGTATCAGTCATGGCAGCCTGGACTCTGAAAGCTGGAAGGGCCCCGGGCTTTGTGTCCAGGAGAGGAAAGGGCAGCCTATAACCAGCCACACTCCTCCTGCCTGAGGCCCTTCTCTGACCACTTAATGGCAGGAGTTTATGGCTAAGTCACCCAGCAAGCCTCACTGATGGGGACAGGCGAGCTGCTCAGAAGAGAAAGAGAAGACAGTTGTGGCACCAGAGGTCAGCCCAGGGATGACAGTGGTAGTGATACCTGGAGAACTATTTCACAAAGTGTTTCAAGCCACCAGCTGGCACAGCAATGTCTGCTAAGGGCACCAGATTTAGGGGTGGATGGCACGCATACCAGGTGTTTGTTATCCCTGATCTAGCCCTGTCCCCCTTTTTATATTCACTCGCACATTTTATTCAACAAACACCAACACCAACTCTGTTTGACCTAAAAAGACCTGGCCCCTGCCCCAGGAGGTCCTAGTTAAGGGGCATACCCAAGCAAATAACTGGTTTTAGAAAAATGGCATGACTGGAGATAGAAGATGTACCCAAGAAGGTTGGCATCAAAGGTAAGAGGCTTTAATAAAGCCTGCCTGGGGAGATCATGAAAGGCTTCCTGTAGGAGTCAGCAGAAAGGGGAAGTGACTTACCCAGGGCCACACAGCCAGGCAGTGGCAGATCCACCTACAGTCAAGAGAGTTGCACATGAATAGTCCTAGAGGTGTGAAATGTTCAGAGGTAGGGTTCTGGTGTGAGCCCAGGCTTCCTGGAGCTTCAGGGACCCAGGGATAAAGGACTGACCTTTGAGACCATGAAGGCATGGATAGCAGGGAGGCAAACCTCCCTGCTGCCCCATGCAGAGGGCACAGAGCTGGGATGGAAAGGGAGGGTCTTTTAGGGCCCAGAGCAGGCAGGTTACCTCAGATCCAGTCAGGGTCCTGGCCTAGTATCCTGGTCCCTGTCTCGCAGCTGCCTGCGGTGGGGTGATTCGCAATGCCACCACTGGCCGCATTGTCTCTCCGGGCTTCCCGGGCAACTACAGCAACAACCTCACCTGCCACTGGCTGCTTGAGGCTCCTGAGGGCCAGCGGCTGCACCTGCACTTTGAGAAGGTTTCCCTGGCAGAGGATGACGACAGGTGAGGGGCTGTGCCAGTGGGATGGGAGTGCCTGCCTGGTAATACCCTGCTGGAGGGGTGGTACCCAGGCCTGGGGCCACAGCCTACCTGGGTCAGGGACCAGTCACCCAGCTGCCACTCTCCTGGCCCAGGCTCATCATCCACAATGGAGACAACGTGGAGGCCCCGCCTGTGTACGATTCCTACGAGGTGGAATACCTGCCCATTGAGGGCCTGCTCAGCTCTGGCAGACATTTCTTTGTGGAGCTCAGTACTGACAGCAGTGGGGCAGCTGCAGGCATGGCCCTGCGCTATGAGGGTGAGCCTGCTGGGCCTGCCCAGGGGGCGTAGGGGGCTGGAGGGGACTGGAGGGATAAGAAGACAGGGGATTCCGAGCCAAGGGTCTCTTCTCTCACACCTTCTTCCTCTCTGCCTCCATTCCATCACCCCTTGCAACTCTACCCCTGCCCACCTGGCACTTAGGTCCCTTCTCCCTGCCCCTCCCCTCTGGTCCAAGAAAATGAACTCTCCAGAGTTGGAAGAGCAGAGAAGGCCCCAACTCTTAGGGAAGGAAAATTTCTGCAAGATGTTCTAGAACCACTTATGCATGCACGTGCTCATTTATTTGTTTAAAGAAGCATTTATTGTGCACCTACTGTGTACTAGGTGTCCTTGGGTGGCACAAATGGTTAAGCGCTCAGCTGCTAATCAAAAAGTTGGCAGTTGAAGTCTACCCAGAGGTGCCTTGGAAGAAAGGCCTGGTGATCTACTTCAGAAAAATCAGCCATTGGAAACCCTACGGAACACAGTTCTACTCTAACACACATGGGGTCACCATGAGTCGGAATCGAGTCGATGGCAACTGGACTGGACTGACTGAACTGTGTACTAAGCACCAAACTAGGCACTGACTGGCAATACAACGGTGACTAAGATAGCTTCCTGAGCACAATCAGGATAGGTGTCCTGGGCTGGCTCTGTCCCTTGCTCCAAGCCAGGACATAAATTTGCCCATCAGTACTCAGGAAGAGAAAGGCCCTGGGGAGCAGGAGGATGCCTGCCCACTTTGTCTGCCCCAGTTGAGGCTGAGCTGGGCTGCACCCTATGGTTTACAGCTTTCCAGCAGGGCCACTGCTATGAGCCTTTCGTCAAATATGGAAACTTCAGCAGCAGTGCACCCTCCTACCCTGTGGGTACCACTGTGGAGTTCAGCTGTGACCCTGGCTACACCCTGGAGCAGGGGTCCATCATCATTGAATGTGTTGACCCCCATGACCCCCAGTGGAATGAGACAGAACCAGCCTGCCGAGGTCAGTAGGCACCAGTGGATGGGCCTGTGGGAGCAGGGAGCAGGGTGGGCACCAGGGAGCCAGCCACATAGCCTGGGAGCACAGGAGCACTGTGACGTGTGATTCAAGCTTCAAACAGAGGGGGCGGGCTCCCAGCAATGGGCAAGCACTCCTGTGGGCAGGTAGCAACCCCAGGACATGGCACTGGGGGGAACGCGGAGGGGACGCGCCTCCCGGGCCTCCCCTGCCTTCCAGCCGTGTGCAGCGGAGAGATCACAGACTCAGCTGGCGTGGTGCTCTCCCCCAACTGGCCAGAGCCCTACGGCCGTGGGCAGGACTGCATCTGGGGTGTGCATGTGGAGGAGGACAAGCGCATCATGCTGGACGTCCGAGTGTGAGTGCCCACAGGGCCAGGCCAAGCCAGCCCTCCTGCCCAGCCTTTCCTGAGGCCCCTTGGCCTGACCTGCACTGACAGTCCTCCTCCACAGGCTGCGTGTCGGCCCTGGTGATGTGCTTACCTTCTATGACGGCGATGACCTGACAGCCCGGGTCCTGGGCCAGTACTCAGGGCCCCGTGGCCACTTCAAGCTCTTTACTTCCATGGCTGACGTCACTATCCAATTTCAGTCGGACCCTGGGGCCTCAGTGCTGAGCTACCAGCAGGGCTTTGTCATCCACTTCTTTGGTGAGCTTGCCCCTGCCCCACTCTACTGCCTGGGGGAGGAGGGGTACCTGAGAGCAGACCCCACACCATAGACAGTCAGAGAGACCAGAGCGACAAAGAGCCTGAGTGCTCCCACCTGACAAGGGAATGCTTGAAATGCTACAGGTATCACCTAAAGGAAGCTGGCCCTGCTCTCCATCTTCCCTGAGGGCCTTATAAGAGAAAAGGAGCCTTCTGTTGCAGCAGAGGGGACTTAAGTTAGACAGCAGGAAGAACTTCATAACAAAAACAGGTTTCTAGGGGTTTCTGACAATCTTTAATAGAAGTGACAGTTTCCCCCATCTTACCTGGCCCCATCTCTCTGGACTGAGGAACTGGCCACAGTGCTTTTGGAAGGAAGGGCAAAGTATAGATGAAAATCCTGGAATCTAGGAGACTGAAGGATGTCAGGGACAGGCAAGGAGTGGCCCTTGAGCAGGGAGCAATGTATCACTGAGCATGCCAGGCTAGGCTAAAACCCATTAACCTGTTGCTGTCGAGTCGATTCCGACTCACAGAGCCCAGGATAAACTGGCAAGAGCCTGATTACCCTGAGTGAGGTGGACAAGCACAGAGTCACCTTGGTGCTAGCTGAGGGCCGGCACCTTGCTGCCCCTGTGCCTCCAGAGGTACCCCGCAACGACACCTGTCCGGAGCTGCCTGAGATCCCCAATGGCTGGAAGAGCCCATCACAGCCTGAGCTGGTGCACGGCACCGTGGTCACTTACCAGTGCTACCCCGGCTACCAAGTGGTGGGATCCAGTGTCCTCATGTGTCAGTGGGACCTAACCTGGAGTGAGGACCTGCCCTCCTGCCAGCGGGGTGAGTGTACCTGTTCCGCATGCATGGCGTCACTAAAGTTGGTGTTACCCAGTGTGGTAGCTCATGGTGTCACCCCCCCATGCTAATTACCACAATATTGTAGCTAAAACACCAGAAAATTTGACAGATCAGCAACCATAAGAGCACCAGCAGCAACAAAAACAACAGTGTGCGCTTGTAGCATGTGCAGATGAAACCACGTGATTCATAGCATCATTGGAATTGGGTAATAATGACAGCTCTGACCAGAGGGCATTAGAAGGTTCAAAAAGTAAATTAGCATAGAGTTTTAGCCTTGTAGGTATATTGATACATGTAAGCTGGGCTTACGAAAAATGTTTTTGTTGTTATAACTACAGGGATATTTTTATAAAAAATAATAAATTTCTGCTAAAACACTGCACAAAAATTTTATAGACAGTCATTTTTGTGCCACCTCTCTGACAGTGTCACCTGGTACAGTCCACAACCCCTGCACCCTCCTAGTGATGCCACTGTCTGCATGCTTCCCTGCCCAACACTACCTTCAAGCCTTTCTCCCAGATTCTGAAGAGACTCCAGCTGTTATTACTGGTATCCTTGAAGTTCCTTCGTCTTTCATAGCCTTAGTTTCCTCATCTGTAAAATGGGGATGATACCGTTTCATAGGATTATCAGCCAAGAACTCCAAATGCTTTATTCCTGACAGATGGCAATCAGTGTTTGTTAACTCTGATGGATAGGAAGGGAACAAATAAGGGGACATATCAGCACAATGGTAGGGACTGATAAATAGGGAGTGGAGCTATATGGTATGAAGATGTTGGCAGGCCTGGAAGAAAGCCAGGGTGAACTGATTTTTGATGAGTTCTCCTGGGGCTTATTTTCCTCCATCACCCCCCATAGTGACTTCCTGCCATGACCCAGGGGACGTGGAGCACAGCCGACGCCTCATATCCAGCCCCAAGTTTCCTGTCGGGGCCACTGTGCAGTATATCTGTGACCAGGGTTTTGTGTTGACGGGTAGTGCCATCCTCACCTGCCATGACCGCCAGGCCGGCAGCCCCAAGTGGAGTGACCGGGCCCCCAAATGTCTCTGTAAGTGTCAGATGGGTAGGAGGGGAAGCCTCTGGTAGCGGATAGAGGATGCAGTCCTTGGAGACTGGAGGCCTGGCACCCTCACTAGGCTCTGCCTGCTTTGCAGTGGAACAGTTCAAGCCATGCCACGGCCTCAGTGCCCCCGAGAATGGTGCCCGCAGTCCTGAAAAGCAACTACACCCAGCAGGGGCCACCATCCACTTCTCATGTGCCCCTGGCTATGTGCTGAAGGGCCAGGCCAGCATCAAGTGTGTGCCCGGGCACCCCTCGCACTGGAGTGACCTTCCACCCACCTGTAGGGCTGGTGAGTGCCCTGCCACCCCCAGAACCCCTGACTGGCCCATAGGGCTGCTCTAGCAAAGATGCCCAATGTTCAGAAACCCCTGCCCATGCCCCCTTCATGTTACCCTTGGTCTCTCCCCAGTCTCTGGCAGATCCTTCTGACTTGGCATCACCAGGACAATGCTGGGTTGGGCTCTCCTTGGACAAACCTTTCCCATGATCAGCCCACTACCCCCATTCCTTGCCTTAGTGGTTTGGCCCATTGGGCTCATGCACTGTCCTTGGCCCTCCCCTCTTGTTCCAGCCTCTCTGGATGGGTTCTACAGCGGCCGCAGCCTGGATGGTGAGCTCCCACTCTTGAGTGCCAGGGAAGTGGTCTCCCCGCCCCTGGTTCTCATAGCTCCCAGGAAGGGCAGAGAAAGAGAGAAATCTGGGACTAGCAGGGCAAAAATCCCTTCCCTGCTCTTAGCCAGCTAGAGGGAGCCGGTGGCCAGATGCCCCTGGGAAGGGGTAAGGGGATATGCGCTCTGCCCCAATCCCACCTTCTGTACTTTCAGTTGCCAAGGCACCTGCTGCCTCCAGCACCCTGGATGCTGCCCACATTGCAGCTGCCATCTTCTTGCCGCTAGTGGCGATGGTGCTGTTGGTGGGAGGTGTGTACTTCTATTTCTTCAGGTGAGTCTGGCTTCCCTGCCTGCCCTGCATACCCAGGGGCTACTGGCCCCAGCTGTGCCCAGTATTCCTGACCTACAGGCTGATCTGTCCCCACAGGCTCCAAGGGAAAAGCCCCCTGCAGCTGCCCCAGACCCGCCCCCGCCCCTATGACCGCATCACCGTGGAGTCAGCATTTGACAATCCAACTTATGAGACTGGAGTAAGTACCCAGGCCAGCCTTGGCACCCTACCCAGGACCCGATTCTCTGTACCCTTGGGCAGGTACCCTGAAGGTACTGCCGAGCCCTGTGACTCTCCCTTTTCCTTGGGAAGATGGATTAAGGCCTAGCAAACTTTATACAAGTTTCCAACTCCCAGCAGTTTCTTTCCTTTGTAGGAGACTAGAGAATATGAAGTCTCCATCTAGGTGAAGGCAGCCTGAGGAAGCCGGCTCAGCCCTCCATCACGGCCCATCAACATGGCTCTTGGCTTTCTGCTGTCCCTCCACTTCGTGTATATACCACCTGGGGAGAGATGCCACCAATCCCTCCAGAAGCTCTGCCCTTCCCCACCTGCAATGCCCACCAGGGCCTATTTCCTTGGCACCACTGCCCACGTAGGGCCCTTCCTTGGGTCCAAGCCAGGGGGCATCTGCTGATGGGCAGAACACAGCTGGAGCACATGAATCAAGGACCAGCATTCTCCTGACCCTCCCAGCCTTGGCCCTCCAGCCTAGAATTCCCAGGCAGAGCTTGAACACCTCTCTGCACATGACCACCACCCAGCCCTGGCATGCAGGGCCCTGTGGCAGGTTAACAGGATGGTGGTGGAAACTGAGCTCAGGCACTCCTCACAGGGCCAGCACCAGTGGCCAAAACTGTTGTCTCCAGGGTGGCCTCAGGGTAGTCCTGGCATGCCCATACCAACCCCTCGGGGAGGTCTCTATTCTTCTCTAGGCCCCAGGAATGGACACAACTGCCTCCTGTGCCTTCCCAGTAAAGGCGATAATTCTAAGGGGTTTAAGGGGTTCAGGGACCCTACTCCAAGCTCAGGCTGGGCTTCCCTGGGCACTCATGCTCCACACCAAAGCAGGACACCACACTGCTCCCCTGGCAGCCCTACACCCCAAGGAGAGTGAGGTCTTCCCCTGATGTCAAATTTGGCTGTTTCAAACATTCTCTTTCCCATTTGTCCCTCCTGCAACCCCAGCCACTTGCAGGCTGCCCTCTTGGCCGCTGTGTTTTGGGAAAGGGGGACTGGGCGGGCATATTCTGGAGAGGAGCAGAGGACCCAGGAATTTGGCGTGGAACAGAGGGTCAGAGAAGCCCAGATAGAGGCCCAGGAGCTGGCTGCAGGCCACTTTGTACATGTAATGTATTATAGGGGTCTGGGATCCAGTCAGAGAATGATCTTTTATTTCTGTTGTTTCCTTATTAAAATGGTGTTTTTGAAAAAACTAAGCAATGGCCAGGTGGACAGTGCTTTCTTGGAGGGAAGGGAGGTGGGAGATAAATAGGATGTGGACTTTGAAACCAGAAGGCATGCTGGATCCACCAATCAATCATCCCCAGATTTTATTAAAAACAAACAAACAAACAAACAGTCACCTGCAGGTGCTGCTGGGCTAGGGACCACAGTCCCCAAAAGTTCAGTGCAACAGATGGCAGAGGAAATGAGACGCCCCAATGACTGGTGCCACAGGGACGTGGGAGCCCAGGAACCCAACTGCTCATCCAGCCTGATGTGCCATTTCCTCCTCTATGCTGGGTCCAGAACTACAGGCTGACACATTCCCAAGTCCCCCTACTAGACTGCTGACAAGGCCCAGGAAGCCTGATGCATCTCTCCTTTCCCTTCTTTCCCAGCAAGCAAGGCCTGAAGAATTGGAAAAGGAACCAGAGACTGAACCCCTGAGCATGAGGCCCTGGTCTGGCATGCAGACTGTCAGGACAGAGGCCATGCTTGGCTCCTAAGTTAGGCAGAAGCCCTACCCATGGGCTCCAAGAAGAAGTAGCTGGGCAGGATCTGCTTAAGTTTGTTAGGTTTGGTCCCTCCCAGCTCCTATGCCCCTTCCCTGTGGTCCCAGCACCTCCTAAGATAGGAATATTTGCCCAGCCTTGGCCCCCCAGCATGCACATCCATGCTTAGAGGTGTGCCCTGCATGGCTGCTTTCCAGAGTAAGAGAAAGGGACAGGCAACAGGGAGTTATGGGAACTCAGAAGCCAGAAGACAAAATCCCTGAAATAAATAATAGCAGCAACAGGGAGGTCTTTCTTACTCATGACTGTCTCCCCACCCTCACCCTCACCCTCATCCCACCCCCAGCTCTAGCACAGGCCACCCTGAAGGATGCAGAGGTCCAGTCCATGCAGAGTGCAGTGTCCAGGATAGCCACAAGAGGTCACTTCTCAAGGCATTTGTAGCCCACCTGCTAGATCTCAATCTACCTTGAACAGCCAGGGCTGGAGCTCTCCAAGGTGGCACCAACTCCTGGCACCGCTGGGCCGATCTCATTCTCCAAGTTTCAAGAGGAAGGTGTATGTAGTGAGTAGTTCCCTGGCACTTGTCAACAGAGCTAAGTCTTATTTCTCTCCTTAGCCCACCGCCTCTTCCTGTTTTCACCTGCAACTCTTGGTGTTGATCAAAGCAAAGCCTTGCTCATTTGGCACGTGCCAATGGCTATCTGCCCCATGATGCGTTCAGGCTGACACAGCAGCACAGCTGGGCATTGGGAAATAGGAAGGAAGCCAATGAGAGAGAGCACATAAGGTCCCAATTTAAGAGGGCCTGTCACATGAAATACAGCCCCAAGAGAGAGGGGGTCTGACCACTCTCATACAAGCAATCTAGCTCGGCCCTCCCTTCTATGAGGGCCACATCTCTGAACCACGGACATAGATGTCTCTTGTAAGCTGAAGCTGGTAGAGAGCAGACAGCAATTTACATGACACCCCCCTACAAACTTATCACCCTTCAAGGTACCAAAAGGATCATCAGAAAAGTCAGAAAAACAGAAGCCTAAGACTGCATATACTGACAGCCCCATCCTATCTAACACATTCTCATTACTGTCCCAAAAGAAGGAACAGCAACAACTCCTCAGAGACAGTTAGCATGGTGTCGTGAACAGTGTCCTGGCCTAGAAACCAAGAAATCTGTTTCATTCCTAGGTCTGCCATAAATTCACTATGTGACTATCCTAGGCTGGGATCTCTAGAGAAACAAAACCAGTAAAGCATATAAATATATACAGAGACAGATTTATAACAAGGAAATGTCTCACGTGATTGTAGAAGCTGTAATGTCCCAAGTCTGTGGATCAAGACAGAGGCTTCTCTCGATTCATACAGCTGCAGGGACTGGCGAACCCAAGATCAGCAGGTCAGAGAGCAGGGCTCCTGCTCACAGGCTGTGAAGATTGACGAATCCCAAGATCGACAGATAAGCTGATAGCTCAAGTCCCAAGAACCAGAAGATCAGATGAACAGGAGGCAGCCGCAGGATCCAGAGGTATAAGGAGCCCAAAGTGGCCAGGTGGCATTCTTAGCTTCCAGTGCAATGGAACCAGTGATGTGTCTCCAGGTGGGAGCATTCCTCCCTCTGGAACTAAGACCTCTAGACTTGCAGAGCATAAGGTTGCAGGGACAGGAAGCAAAAATCTTGCAAGTAGGTTACTAGCGGTAATAGTGAGTGGTGCCACTCCCATTTCCACCCCTTGATTTCTGGACCCATGAATCCTGGCTATGGGAGAAACAGCACCATATACTGGACGCTGGTTTAGAGCATATACAGCCTCCTGGAGAACATTACCCCAACCCTGCAAGGTATTACCACCTAGCTGGCACCATAATTGTGTCTTTAGGAGGCCATTCCATCGTTCTATCAAGCCAGCTGCTTCAGGATGATGGAGAACATGGTAAGAACAGTGAATTCCATAAGCATGGGCCCACTGCCACACTTCATTTGCTGTGAAGTGAGTCCCTTGATCTGAGGCAATGCTGTGTGGGACACCATGACGGTGGATAAGGCATTCTGGAAGTCCAAGGATGGTAGTTTTGGCAGAAGCATTGCATGCAGGGAAGCCAACTCCATATCCAGAGTAAGTGTCTATTCCAGTAAGGTCAAAACACCGCCCTTTCCTTGATGGAAGTGATCCAACGTAATCAACTTTGCCACCAGGTTGCTGGCTGATCACCTCGAGGGATGGTGCCATATCAGGGACTCAGTGTTGGTCTCTGCTGCTGGCAGACTGGGCACTCAGCAGTGGTTGTAGCCAAGTTGGCCTTGGTGAGTGGAAGTCCATGTTGCTGGGCCCATGCACAACCTCCATCCCTGCCACCATGGCCACTTTGTTCATGAGCCCATTGAGCAATGACCGGAGTATCTGGGGAAAGAGGATGACTGGTTTCCACAGAATGCATCATTCTATCCACTTGATTTTGAGGTCACCCTCAAAATCATCAAAATCATCCTCTGCTGAGGTCACCCTTTGGTGAGCATTCACATGAGACACAAATATCTTCACTTTTTTTGGCCCATTCAGAGAGGTCTATCCACATACCTTTTCCCCATAAATCCTTGTCTCCAATTTTCCAATCATGTTCCTTCCGTGTCCCTGACCAAAAAGCCAAACCATTGTCCACAGCCCATGAATCAGTATACAGTTGCACATCTGGCCATTTCTCCTTCCAAGCAAAGTGAACAACCAGGTGCACTGCTGGAAGTTCTGCTCATCGAGAGGATTTCCCTTCACCACTGTCCTTCAGGGAGGTCCCAGAAAGGGGCTGTAGTGCTGCTGCTGACCACTTTCGAGTGGTGCCTGCATATCTTGCAGAGCCATCTGTAAACCCGGCATGAGTTTTCTCTTCTTCAGTCAACTGATCATCAGGAACTCCCCATGAGGCCATAGGTACAGACTGGGAGATGGAAGGTAATGTGACAGGAATGGAGACCATGGGCATTTGGGCCACTTCCTCATACAACTTACTTGTGCCATCAGGTCCTGCTCTGGCCTGATCTCATATATACCACTTTCATTTAATGATGGAGCGCTGCTCTGCACGTCCAACTTTATGACTCTATGGGTCAGACAACACCCAGTTCATGACGGGCAGTTCAGTCTGCATGGTGACTTGGTGTCCCATGGTTAAGCATTCAGTCTCTACTAAGGCCTAGTAACAAGCCAAAAGCTGTTTCTCAAAAGGAGAGTAGTTATCTGCAGATCATGGCAGGGCTTTGCTCCAAAATCCTAAGGGTCTGGGCTGTGATTCACCAATAGGGGCCTGCCAAAGATTCCAAACAGCATCTCGATCCACGACTGACACTTCAAGCACTATTGGATCAGCCGGATCACATGGCCAAAGTGGCAGAGGAGCTTGCACAGCAGCATGAACCTGTTGCAGAGCCTTCTCTTGTTCTGGGCCACACTCAAAACTAGCAGCTTTTTAAGTCACTTGATAAATAGGCCCAAGTAGCACACCCAAATGAGGAATATGTTGCCTCCAAAATCCAAAGAGGCTCACTAGGCATTGTGCCTTATTTTTAGTTGTGGGAGGAGTCAAACGCAATAACTTACCCTTTACTTTAGAAGGAATAACTCTACATGCCCCACAGCACTGAACCCCTAGAAATTTGGGGGAGCCAAAGGGTGAAATGTCATAGATTGAATTGTGTCCCCCCAAAATATGTGTCAACTTGGTTAGGCCATGATTCCTAGTATTGTGTGGTTGTCCTCCATTTTGTGATTATAATTTTATGTTAAAGAGGATTAGGGTGGGATTGTAACACCCTTACTAAGGTCACACCCCTGATCCAATCTAAAGGGAGTTTTCCTGGGGTGTGGCCTGCACTACCTTTTATCACTCAGGAGATAAAAAGGAAAGGGAAGCCAGCATACCTCATACCACCAAGAAAGCAGTGCCAGGAGCAGAGCGCATCCTTTGGACCTGGGGTCCCTGTGCACAGAAGCTCCTAGTCCGGGGGAAGATTGATGAGAAGGTGGACAGAGAAAAAGCCTTACCCTGGAGCTGACACCCTGAATTTGGACTTTTAGCCTACTTTACTGTGAGGAAATAAACTTCTCTTTGTTAAAGCCATCCACTTGTGGTATTTCTGTTATAGCAGCACTAGATGACTAAGACAGTGACCTAGGCAAATCACTGCTCCTCTCTGGACATGTGGAAATGAAGGTGTTAATTCAGATGGTCTCTTAAACCCTTTCTCACTTTACGATTCTAAGGGTGCTAAGTGTGCCTCAACATCAAAGATGGGTAGGGCACAGCTACCTGGCAACAACGCCAACTAAACCCCTAGCGTCAGGCACAATGACGTGATTTCCTTCTCCACTTCTTCATCCACAGTCAGGCTGAGACAACTGGCAATCTCTGCCAGCGATGCCAAGGCCAGCGGCAGGCGCCCAAGAGTGAAGCGCGAAGTCCCGCCCAGAATTCGAGGTGAGGACCTCAGACTACAAATGCCAGCATGCAGTACTCCAGCTTTCATAAGTATCCCTTCCTGGCAGGCAAACAGATCTTTCCTGAGTCCATCCTGTCATAGCGTGCAACACACGCACAAGGAACTACAACTCCCACAATCCATCAGACCTATCGCGATTCTTGCTTCCAGGTTGCAACGCGTTCCCGTCGCCCTTTGGACCACTGGCGCATTGCAAACTGGGAATAGAAGTTCGCTTTAGGCAGGTGGCTGGGCGTTGCCGGCATTAGGAACTCCGCTCTTGGCTTCGTCTTGAAGAGCAGTTCGCAGAGATAGTATTCAAGAGAGGGTAGTAACGGGCAGGCAGAACTCTCCGTGGTGCCATCACCACGCAAGGCAGGGATGCTTGGGCTAAAATTAAATCGGGAGCGGGAGGGAACTGGGAACCGCAGCCATCCAACCCGCTACCAAAAGCGTTTTCGTTGAAATGGCCTTTTCTTTTCTCTTTACCAATATGGCGGCCTGGTCCAGCCACACCTGACGCTGAAACCAAACAGTCCAATAAAACATCCGTAGAAATACTGCTGTTACTGACAGCCTACCAACTCCAATGAATGCTACTCTTGCTTCTTCCTGCTCATGCCTGAAGACCAAGGGCACCATGGTCTACATCCCATTACCAAAATGGCGAAAAGAGAAGCATTTTTGTGAGGGCCAGTAGCTGACAATACGCCTGCGCGCGAGGCGGCTGCGTTGTTGTGGGGCCGGAGGCGAGGCACCCCCAACACGCCTGCGCGGGAGCAGAGTATTCTTGGTCTATACACAAACACCAATGGATGAAGCGTCCACAGGTTCCTGCGGCTGCGCTGTGACCCTTGCAAGCTCTCCTAGGCGCCTGCGCGAGACCTGACGTCCCGCCCTTTTATCTCAATGCGCTGGCGCAGGGCAGAAAGGCGGGGCTTCGGGGCGCGAGACGAATGCCAGCGCGGCTGCGCGCTGGGGGGTACCCCTTACGGCGGCTGCGCGGGAGCCCGGCCGCCGGCTGTCACTGCGGTTGCGCGCGGCGAGCGGCGATCCCGGGGCGCCTGCGCGGGTGGCTTTGCGGGCGCTCGCGGTAAGTTTGCGCCAAGTGCGCGGCAGCCGGGACGCAGACGGCGGCGGCGGCGAGAGGCGGAGCCCGGGGACCACCCCCCATCACCCTCCCCCCAGTCACCTCACGTACCACAACCTCACCTAACCTCTCACCCCCCCCTCCGATACCCCCAACCCCGGGATGGCAGCGCCCGCCAGCCTTCCCGGCCGGACCAGCAGTCGCCAGCGCCGGCTTTAGCCTGTGGGACTAGGCCCCGCCGAGGCCTGACCCCCGGAGCCGGGACCCACCGTGCAGCCAGCCACCGGGCCGGGGCTGAGGGGCCGCTCCCCCCTCACGGCCCGTGGGGAGGACGCTGCCGTCCCGGGGACTGGGGGCCGGGGGGTGGGGGGGAGCCCGGGCGAGGAAGTCGGGACCCGTGTTGAGAAAAAAGAAGAGGGGCCGGGGTCAGGAGCGCCCCCTCCCCCCGCTTCCCCCCTCCCTCTGGGGCTGGGGGGGCCGGAGCAGAGAGCGCCCAGCCCGGGAGGTGGATGAATGTGGGAGAAAATGGAGACCAAGACGATCGTGTACGACTTGGACACGTCGGGGGGGCTGATGGAGGTAAGAGTGGCCCTCCTCATCCCCTTACCTCAGCGTCGAGAGGGAACCTCCGCCCCACAAAGCCGGCCCTGAGCTCGTAGCGCCTGAGGGCCGCCGGGGGGGGGGTCCTCCTTACCCACCCTCCCCCTCCCATCTTTGCAATTTGGGGGGCTTGGCTCAGCCTCGGAGGACGTTGCCGCAGTTTCACCTACCCGACGCCCTCGATTCGCTCTCCCGACGCGCCAGCCCACTCCATCTCGTTGCACCGGCGGGCCTCCCCACCCCCTTTTTGTCGGTCCCTTTGTGCTTCCCCCTGCACGTCCGGGTACCCGGCTTCGGGCCTCTCCCGAGCCGGGCTTTGGAGTCCCCCGCTGTCCATACAAGGAAGTGGCGAGAAGGGAACCGCGCATCCTCTCCCCATCCCCCTATCCTGATCCTCCACATTTGGAAGAAGCTGTTCTCGTGCTGCAGGAACGCGGTTAGGGTGGGATCCCCCGGTTCCGGGGCCCGAGAGGTTCTGGGAGCAGCCTGGATGGGAGGAAGAAGGACAAAAGGGGGGAGAGGGGTGGGTGACGGTGAAGCCGCGTTGAGGGGGCGACGAACCGCCCGGGAGCTCCGAGTGTGCACACACGCCTTTTGTATGTATGTGCAGCAAATCCAAGCTCTGCTGGCTCCCCCCAAGACGGACGAGGCGGAAAAGCGGAGTCGGAAGCCTGAGAAGGAGCCCCGGAGAAGCGGCAGGGCCACCAACCACGACAGCTGCGATAGCTGCAAGGAAGGTGGGGATCTCCTGTGCTGCGACCACTGCCCGGCCGCCTTCCACCTCCAGTGCTGGTAAGGTCTGGGGACCCGTCTGGAGCGCCTTGGCAGACCCTCCTCCTCACATTCCTTCACCCGCCTGGCCCTGCCTGCCGAAATAACGGGCGCTTGCAGCCGCTAGCTGACTTTCTGCAGCCGCTGGTGCGAGCGCCTCCCCGCCCCCAGGTGTCTCCTCGGATCTGGCCTTTTTGGGGGGAGGAGCGGCAGTGGGTCCGGACCGGAGGTGGGGGTTGGGAGGAGTGAGGAGAGCCCCATCTGGGATTGGAAGTCGCTGGGAGCCAGGACCGAGCCGGGCGAGCACGGCCGGCGGTGGCGGGGGAGGAAGGGGAGGAGCTCCGGGCCCAGCCTGTGCCGCTCGCCTGCCCGCGCGCCCGCCGCCCTCTGGCTCCTGCCCGGCCGGGCTCTCCTCGGGGTGGGGGCGCGGAACCCGTGGGCCACCCCAGCTTCCTTGGTCCAGACCCGGGCGACCAGGCGCTTGCGGCTGTAGAGGAAATCATGGAGGGTGTCTCTCGCGCCCGCCTCTTCACTGTCTCTCTGTTTACAATATGGCGACCTGCCTTTAAATTATATTTTTATTCTCAGCGCCATTTTGGCCGCATATATGATTTGGAAACGTCTCCCGGGGAGCGGTGGTGGTAGTCCCGGAGCCCTTTCTGTAGTAGCCCCTCGGGGGCCGGGGCAAGGGATCTCGCCGCTTTCGTTCCCTTTCTCTGCCTCCGCTTGCCCCCTGTTGCCTCTCAGAGCTGCCTCCCGCCTCCCTCCCCTCCCCGTGCTGCTGCCTCTTAGGAAATCGGGCCGGTTAGACAATTAAAATTGCCCTTGGGCGCGGATTTCACTTCTCCGCTCTGGATCCGCGAGCCCTTCGCCGCAGAATTCTTTGCTGCTGGGGCAGGATTGTGTGCGGTGGAGCCGGGAGGGCATTTTTAAGGCGCGGAGAGCTGGAAATCAGTACCCTTTTTTTTTTCCTTTACTGAACGGGAGGGGAGGGGAGACACCGAAGAGAGAGGGAGGGACCTGGGTTGATCACCCGCTGCTTGATCCTCAGCAGCTCAGCCCAGAACAGTCTGGCAAGAAAGAGTTTAAACTTCACCTTCTGCCGGGAGAAATCACACATACACACACTCCACCCCCAAAAGAAAAGAAAAAAAGATCCCACATCAGCATAGAGAACATTGATTGCTTCTTGTTCTGCTGGGTGTTGTGTTCAGCAACAGTTGAGGCAGGCGTTTGTGAGAGGAGAAGGGCTGGACAGAGCGGGAAGGAGAGGGGACAGTTCTCTTCCCACCGGTTTTGTTTTTCCTTAACCAGGGGCCTTTTTTAGCCCTCTGTTTAAAAAAATGTTTTCCTCAAGCTCTCTCCACAGTTCTATTCACATTTCATCTCTTGGTTTCTGGAATAGGGCCTACTGTGTATTTGTACTAATTGCAAGTTTTGAAACACTTATTAGGCAGATAGATGACTGATACTGGGCAAATTAAGCCTGTGGTCAGAAGTTATGTAGGAAGTGTCCCATTACCATTGCCAGGATACCTTTGCCCAGGAATGCATCCCATCTTAGTTTGTAATGTTGCAGAGACAAAAATGATTATCCTGGAGGAAGCTTTGTTGCTGGCTTTAAAATTTTTATTACGAAGTGACTAATACCAGCAAGAAGGGTCTGTGGTTTTTTGGCTTTATTTCTTATAAGGTGTAATCTACCTGGAGAAAATATCTTTGATCAAGTTTTCTGTGTTGTTGAGCACAGGAGAGATTTGTACCTGGATGTGTTGTGTTGCTTACCAGTTATTCCTAGTTGGTACATTTTTTATTGTGCTTGTTTGATGTATATAAAAAGACTGAGTTGTAGATTTCTGCATTTAAACTGTGGGTTAATGTTTTACCCATAAAATGAAGTTGGTGTTAATCAAGATTGGTGACTCCCATGTTAAGTCTGAGAGTTTGATAAGCCTTATATTATCTTTAAAGAGCACTGGTGGTGCAGTGGTAAAGCACTTGGCCGTGTGGTTGTTCAACCAGCTGCTCCATGGGAGAAAGATGTGGCAGTCTGCTTCTATATTGATTTACAGTCTTGGAAACCCTATGGGGCAGTTCTACTCTGCCCTAGAGGGTTACTATGGTTGAAATCACCTTGACGGCAATGGATTTATATTATTAACTTCAGTCTCATTTGTTTAATAAAGCTGAAATTGTTTATTAGAAACGTCGGGCATGGAAAAAGCGTGCTGTTGGTTTTGCCTGAGACTGGGTTTTTTAAACTTTAGAAGGTAACCTCTGAATCTTTTAATTAGATGAGTGTAAGTCTTGTCAAGTTGTAACAATTAAGTTTCCTTTTTAGCTGCTGGTGAGATTCTTGCCCAGACTGTGCATTTCATTGAATACAACTTTTTTTTTTTTTTTTTTGAGAACATGAATGGAAACTGATAAACAGAGATTTGAGAGTCCTATTAAATGAGGTAGGGCTTGTTTCACATCACCAATTTCCCTTTTGAAGATGCCAGAACTGGATGTACCATTGATTTATCAGAATTATTATACAAATCACAAAACATGCTAAGTATTGGTGTGAAGACAGGAAGCCGTCTTTCAAATAGGAATTCCCTAGATGAGTTTCGTTCCAGAAGTAAGGCTTATCCCACAGGCTTACCCCATACTCTTTCCAACATGAGTGACGTACTTCATTAACTAACTCAACTAGAATAGTTAAGTCAAGCAATCAAAATAATGTTTCAGAAAAGTTTGATTCCTCGTTGTGTTTGCGTTAATTTGTCCCCAGTTATTGTTTACTCGTGCCATATGGAAGTGAGGTTAGGAGGTATGGTTGTATTTTCTCTTACTTCCCCATTTTAACTGGCTAAGACTGAATTGTTTAGACAAGGATAGTAATGATAATTTCCCTTGTTTCCCAGAATGTGCAAGAGTGACGGTGGAGTTTTGCAAACGCTGTAGGTCATAGTTGCTGTGGGTCTCCCTTCAAAGTTCTGTGAGACAGGTCCTCTTTTACGCTCTAGTGTACTTTGCCAGCCTGCTTCACAGTGAACAGGATCTGATAAAATGTTCCAGAAGTGATTCTAGGCAAACTTTACCTCCTGGGCTAAATGACATAGCCATAAACCAGAGGGTATCTTTCTAAGATAAACTGTTGGAGGAAATGACTGGTCAAATAAGTTGTTTTATTTGTCCTGTCTTTTCTCAGAGGCAAACACCCTATATGAGGAACAGTCATCTCTTCCCAATTAGACTGGTACCCCTATTCCTGGGTTTTCTGTGATGATCTTCTGTCTGTGTGAGGAAACAAATTGTCCTGTGCTCAGTACCGGAAACCCTAGTGGCTTAGTGGTTAAGAGTTACCTTTTCTAACCAAAAGGTGGGCAGTTCAAATCCACCAGGTGCTCCTTGGAAACTGTATGAGGCAGTTTTACTCTGTCCTGTAGGGTTGCTATGAGTCAGAATCAACTTGATGGCAACGGGTTTGGTTTTTTTTGGTGCTCAGTACCATGGCCTTACTGAAGAATTCAACTTGAGCTGATGTTTTTGTATTTGTTTAAGTGATAGTGTAATCATTTTATCCAAGTTTAACTGGCTTATCAGTTATTCAGAGTGGTAGTAGGGATTATTAAACCTGCCCCTGGGGAATTGGAAAGAGATGTTTTTAAGTGTTCCCTGGTGAATGTGACCTCCATCGTAATTGTCATGCCAAATACTGAACTTTCTGGAAATACTGTTCTCTGTGGACCGGTCCCTAAAAATGGGTAAGAAATTAGAATGACTGATGGAGCTTTAGTTGCTGCTGGCTGACCCATCTTTCTCTTTGAAATGGGTGGGATAGTTCTCCTGATAAAGTTAGTACCACAGGGCATCAGTAATGAGGCTGACTGGAAACAGGATAGTTTCCTCTGATTGCTTTCTCATGGCATTTTGCTCCAAACAGACTGAGGGACCAAAACAGTCTGACTGAGTAGTGCATCTACCTCAGCAGACCTCAGCATGGTCGTTTCCCGTCAGACAGATTTCTGTAACATTTGCCTCCGCGTGTTATATTTGGAATTGTTGGCCAGCTTTCCTCTCTCTGGTGTTGGCAGCAAGATCCAAAATGAGGTTTTCGAAGAATGAGAGTAAAAAAGTCTCTGTGCACAGACAAAACTAAGCTCAGCTTGGAGTTTTGCATATTTAATTTTCAGTGAGTCATAACAAGAAAGGTTTCACGCATAGAGTAGAAAACTGCCTTGCAGAAAATCTTTGCTGTCATGAACTTTTGAGGATGTGATTTTGTTGTTGTGGTGGTGGTGTTTAGCTGCTTGGTGTCGTTAGAATGATATCAAGCATGTAATGAATTAAAATACATTTATTTTAGAAAAACATTTATTCTGACATTACCTCATTACCTTGTTTCTGACATCGTAAGTGCTTGGCAGCCTGGCACTGATGCGCTGGAGGTGACATCTGAACTCCTTCCCCTCACTTCACCCTCTCAACAGTAAAATGATTCAACAATAAACAAACATAGTTTGGCTTGTGATTTTTATGTTTATTTTATTTACTTAGTTTTGCATTTGCTTTGTTTCATTGGAATCTGGGCGTGTAGTATTGTTTTAAATGATCTACCCAAACATAGAGGGTCCCATAACCTTCAGCTTTAACTCAAGTTCAGATGCTTGCTTCTTAAACTTAATGTGAGGCTGAGGGACTAATTCTTGTGAGATATGAGTGCTTTAGTTCAAAGATATAGAACACTCATTGTTTAAAATTATAAGAATGATATATGGTTTGAGTTGTTTATGTGTAAAATGTTTGTGATCCAAATGGCTTGGAAGCATCAGAAATACTAAAAGTAGAAAAGGAGATAATACACTTGAAAGATGGCAGTTATTGTGCAACTTAAAGCAGAGAGGTACATAGTGTACTATGGGAAGAAAATTTTCATATTGGGCCGGTCCAAAAAAACCAATTAATTACCGTACTCAGTGAAAGGTAGGATGCAGATAAAGTCTCATCAATCTCCTGCTGTTCCTTAAGGC